TGGATGTAAGGCTTATTGGTCTATAGTTCGAATCCAAGGACCTGTCACCTGCCTTGTAAATAGGTATCACATTTGCCATTTTCACACTTATCAGGCACTAATGCCAGTTTGTAGTGATAATGTTTAAAAAGATTAGCCAAAGGTATGCTTATGTTCCTCTTACATTCCTTAACACCCTTGCCAAACAGTTCATCAGGACCTAGGGATTTGTTAGGTTTTAGTCTTTCTCTATTTTGTCTGAGGACCATGTCACTAGTTACTGCATCGTCATATTTTATATCCTGTTCTACATTATTTATTATTTCAGGAATATCGCTGTATTTTCCTGGGTAAAAACGGGGGAAGCAGGTATTGAGATTTAAACACACATACCCTTATATGTCAGTGATCTGCCAGAGTTACTCTTAAGGGGGCCCCATCTTTTCCTAATTTTATTCTGTATCCCTGAAAGAACCCTTTTTTGGGATCTTTGAATCCCTTGCTACCTTGCCTTAAAACCCCCCCTTTTTTACTTTTCTTATTCCTTTCTTTATTTCTCTCTTAATTGAATATTTTGTTTTCTTAATCCCCACCCTTTTTTATACGCCTATATATGCCTCTCTTTTGACCAATGAATGTTTTAATCTTTGATCCCCATTTGGGATAATTTTTGTTAGATCTTTTTTCTCTATGGGAACAAAAGTTGTCTGAAAAAAACGTCATTTTGGCAACCAAGATCCCCTACTGACCCATAGTCAAGACACCCAATTTAGCCCACCCGGGAAATTTTTTCACTCCTAGAATTCGCCCAAGCGAAAATTGGGACGGGAGATTTGATTGCATTATCTGGGGTAATTCCATGATTATTGAAACTAAGTGATTGTGATCACTTTCCCAAAGCTCATCTTGACCCAAGATTATTAATTGTGAATCTTTTGTTGGCAAAAACCCAAAGTCAAGCAGATTGTTTCTCAATTGGTTTGTCAACCCGTTCTAAAAAGCAATCCTGAACTGTATCAGAAAGTCACTAACTCAAGATTTCCTGTCATTTGTTCCAAAACAATTTTTCTAAAGTTAAAATCTTCCATTTTCACAACTTTTCATATTAATGCCTTTTGAATTTGTCCCATAAAGCTTATTGCACTCCCTATAAGGGTTGGGGGCCTTAAATCACCCCAAAAAAAATTTTTCACGACCCCTCGAGAAAATGTAGCCAAACGATTCTTTGTTCAATTTTCTAATCTTATATCATGTCTAAAAAACCAAATTTTTAAATTTCTCTGACATACATCGCCCACTCCCTACCCTTCCCGTTGACCCTGTCAGTGTGGAATAGTTTTAAACCCTTGTTTGTTGCCAAGAAGGGTTTCTCTATCTTTAGGTTTAAATAGGTCTTTGTTATACCCAATAATATTATATTCCTACACTTGCAATTTTAGCTCATCATCTTATTTCTTGACCCCCCATTTGTTTTAAACCCTTTGGGAGTAGTCACTCGTTGCCCTCTACTATCTCTCTTTGTTTGTTGATCATTTTTTGCCATTACTTAGCAACTTTATTTTTAAAAATTTTCTTTTAAACAATCCCCGAGGTTTCCCCGGTAATAATGTGTTTTAACCCTAATGCTGCAGCCTGATTGTTTCCCACAAACACCCTACCTCTATAATCTATCAAAATTTTAAAAACCTGACAAGTCATCAATTACCCTCTCATTTGAATTTGGTAAAGCAAAACCCCCCATCCCAAGAGTGAACCCCCTCCCTTGCATAAATCAGTTTCCCCAAAAAAAAAGGCCCAGTTATCAAAGAAGGGAAATTTCAAGTTCCTTGTGTACTGTCTAGTAGCGATTTATCCAAATTTCCCAGGAAAACCCTTTTATGCTCACTCTCTTTCTAGGGAAGATGCTACTATGACTGGATCCCTCCTTAACCTAACATTCTATGGCTAACCGTACTTTTCAGCAGCTCCTCTCTCCCGCCCTTCCCGTGTCATTACCCCCAGCACTAAGACAATAAAGGGTTGTTCCCATTACCCTTCATAATTTTATCCCAAACCGCTGACTTTTTTACCCAAACCAGCCCAGGAAGGCACACCCCTTCTGACCTTTTTTGTCCTGTTTCAGAAAGATGGTCCCCTATATCTTTTCTGAGAATTTCCCAATTAAAATTTCTTCCTTGATTAGAGGGGAAACGTGGGATTTCAAACCTCATTAACCATGAAGTACACCGTCTTGGAGAACAGAGAATCATTTCCTACCTTCACTTTTTCTCTTTAACTGTCCTCATCTTCCTTTTTCCCGAATGTGAACCACTTGTTAGGTAAGACACATAGCAACAGTTGGGTTCTTTATTCGAAACGTTTTCCCTACACAGTAGGTTCTTCAGTGATACGGGAAAAAAGCTGTGAAGCAGAAGAGATTGAAACGATGAATCATCCATCACCCTTAAATTTTGAGGTGGCAGTCCCTCAGTCTGGAAAAGAGCAGGTGGGTAAGAAGCAGTGTTGGAGGTCAGGTCCCTCTAAATCCAACCGTTCTCCTAGTAGAGGTTGTCGAATTTTGATTTAGGTCTGTCCCAAGAACCTTGTGTTGCAGTGTCTGACGATTTGAACTTTTAAAAGGTATAAAATACCGACGGTTGTTAGGTAAGACACATATAAACAGTTAGGTATCTTTTTTTTGAAACGTTCAAAAAAAGATATAACTTTTGAATGTGTCTTCTTAAAACCTGTCGGTAATTTAACCATTTTATTGGAACATTTTCCTTAAAGCGGCTGCCACTTCACTGCTGGTGACCATTTCCCCTTGGAAATGTTTTCTATATCCCCCATTTTAGGTGTCTCAAGTTGAAATCCCCAGTAGTAAGATGTGTAGGGGAGGGTTGTTAATTTTCCAGACGTGGTCAATTTTCTTAAGCTGCTCCTGGAATTTCTGGAAATTGCTTGGAGACTTGTAGACTACCACAAAGCAAGGTTTTTTTTTCATTCTTTACCGAAAACTTAATACATCATTTGAATACAGATTAACCTTCCCCTTTTTGCCTGTTTAGTCCGTCGCATTGGAATAGGTTATAACTGGGATCCATTTCGTTTTTCATAAAGATCCTTTATTGGGTTCGTGAATGCTGCAAACATTTGCCCAGAATTTTGTAAGAATTTTGTTGTTTTTGGGAGCATTACCCTTGTATGTTTGCAAAGACAAATGTCGTTGTATTTAGGGAAATTAGGGGGGTTTATTTGCTGGCTCTAATAACTGTTTGTTCGGGGAATAGCCCGCCAACGACCGTGCCTCTGCTCCAGAATTTGTTTTCGGGTTGGTTGTAGGAAGTATTATTATTTCTTGCCAGTCTTTTTCCCTCCTGGCCCTAAAAAAACCTCCGTCCCTGGAGAGGTTGTGGCTCCTCTCTTTTGTTTCCCATGGTCTGGCTGGTCTGTTTTCTTCTAGCCCCCTTTTCATGATGTGCCTGGCAGTATGCACTGTAACATTTTCTTTCATGGATTGACGAGTGACACATTTCTGGGTGAAATATGTTAAGGAGGAAGTTGCACTCTCCTGCTGTCACGTGGGTGCGGCATTTTGTGGATGTTTCAAGTGTTTTAGTTTTATGGCTTGGCATGTCTTAAATTTTTTGATCATGTCATGTTGGTGAATAAGTCCTAGAGTTTTTGTGTACGTGATATGTTTTAGTTGGTGTTGATCATGTTGTTCTAAGTGATTGTGTGTGTGTTAGGTACACATTCATGTTATGTCTTAGTTGGTATAAACTAAATAATGTAGATCTTAATACTACTGATTGCGAAAAAAAGGGTTTAGGGGGTTCTGGTTAGCAGTAATCTAAAACCGATAAACAGTGCCTTTGCGTTCGCAATAAAGCTAACAGATCCTTGGCTTCTATCAAGAGTATAAATAATAGAAGTCCTCAGGTTGTTCGATTCACGAGGTATAGGAAAGCATGGTTTGTAGATGGGGTGGGTTGTGGTTAGGCCTGATAGCTTGTGCTACCAGGTCGGTTGCGTGTTCCACCTTAAAGTCAATGTGACCTGAACTTGATAGTTGGGTGCATTGGCTTTAACCGGTAGGAGCTTGGACCTGCCTTGATGGGCCAGTGGCTTTGCAGTGTCCTTCGTTCTTATGTTCTTATGTTCTTTTCATTGGTTTTAGGCCCTTATTTAGATTATGCTGTACAGTTCTGGTCACCCTTTTCAGGGAATAAAGCTAGGGAAACGTTAGAGGAGGTATGAAAGAAGTTGATCCCATGATCAGAAATTTCCCTATGAAAATAACTGAGGCCGAATGCACTTTCTCGAAAGACGTTTGAATTAGGGGGATATGATGAGGTTAGAAAGGGAAAACAGGAATAATAAAGGGATGTAAATAGTGTGCTGAAAATATCCCGCCAAAACAGGACTCGCAGCAATTGTTTCAAGTTGGAAAAAATTCAGATTCACGAAGGATATAGGAAAGCACTGGTTTGGTAATAGAGTTGTGGTGAGTGGAACAAACTCTTGAGTACTGTTATAGAAGCGAAAACGTTGTGTAGTTTTAAAATAGGTTAGATAAATACATGAGTGGGTGTGGTGGGTGTGAGTTGGACGTGACTAGCTTGTGCTACCAGGTCTGGTGCCGTGCTCCTTCCTTAAGTGGAAGTGGCCTAACTAGGTGGGTCATTGGTCTAAGCGGGGCGTGGCATATGGACCTGCTTCGCATGGGTCAGTAGACCTGCTGCAGTGTTCCTTCTTTCTTATGTCCCTTGTTCTTTAAGAAAGGTATACTGTATAATAGATCAAGTTGTAACTGAGACACATGTATGATCTTTTTCGGTGAAGATACCCAATTGTTTACCTGGAGTTTACCTGGAGAGGGTTTTGGGGGGTCAACGCCCCTGTGGCCCGGTCTCAGACCAGTGTTGTACACACTTATCTGTGATTATAAGAATTACATAAAACGTGCCACATGCCCAGTTTTTAATTAATAAAATTAACACTAATGATGAGAATAATAATTGAAACAATGACTTTCCAACAGGGTGACGGTGTACTGTCAACTGCATGGGTGTTGCTTCTTCCGGTGTACTACAACACGCAGAAAATAAATTAGAGTGAAACACAAGAGAGGAGGAGGAGGCAGAGAGGGTAAAGCATCAGTAGGTAGCATCATGGACACGTTCCTGGCGTACATCGGGGAGTTTGGCAGGTACCAGAGGAGACTCTTCCTGCTCCTCTCACTGCCTACTGTAGTGGTCTCCATGCAGAAGCTGGCGTGGGTGTTTCTGGGTGCTCGCGTCAACCACAGGTTAGTATCCATTACACACACAAACCAGAACAATAACGAGTGATTGTCGGTGACAGGTGTTTGAATGGGTGCATGTGACGAGTGAGGTTCGTATATGTGAATGACATAACGGAAAGAATAAAATCAGAGGTATTCCTGATCACAGGTGATGTGAACGACCATAAGGAGAATACAAGCACCTCTGACTTAATGAAAAAGCTGTGCCGAGCTGAAACAACAACAGCAACATACAGGTGACTGAATAAATAACAAAAAGGCACAATACCGTGACTGGAACGATACACAAATAACCCGCACATAAAAGAGAGAAGCTTTACGACGACGTTTCGGTCCGACTTATTTATACAATTCTTTGTACTACTACTACTACTGCTACCTCCACCTCTTTCTGCCTATATATAGCCGTCTGCTCCACCTCTGTTAGTGTTGACTTGGCAATGATCCAAGTCGGACCGAAACGTCGTAGTAAGCTTCTCTCTTTTTATGTGCGGGTTATTTGTGTACAGGTGACTGGTATGTGACTGAGAACAGCGTGGGATGTTGTGCCATCGCAGGGGACGCCACTAAGATTTCTCGAAGAAATTTGGCAAATTTCGCTGGATCCTGCTGATTGTATGTCTGAATGATGAGACTTGCAGACACGACATCAGGACAACTCGCAGAGAGACGGATGCTACTTGTACGGGGCGATGAAGCAGTCAATCTCTTCAAATTCATTCCTTCCTTACAGCATCCACAGTTGCTCACAGAGTTCTCGTCGGTGACAGAGACGAAACCTTGTCCTTTGATTTTCCGCAGTATTTAGACATTATCGTCACAGCGTCATTCTGGGCCCACCGGTCAAGTGTTGCACTTCATATCCTGCCCTGCAGCACCTTAGCACTTGCCTGCAGCCTTCTTCAGCCCTTCTACAGCGTCCCTACACCCATCCAAGCTACGGAAGTCAAGGTGAGGGAGATTGCCACAGGAACGATCAAGGAAGCCCACCGTAATCCACATTGTCAGTGCTGGGTTCTTAGTACAGGCAGTGTGTTATGGCGGCCCAGAGGGCCATGCCCTCGAGAGAGAAGAGATAGAGTGGAGTACACTCTTCTCTAGGTTGGAGTGCTGCCGAGTGAGAGAGATACATCATCTCGTGAGCTTAGCTTGGTAGGCCTTCGCCCGGTAGATGTCAGCACCAGCGTGTCACGAAATATGAAGGCGACACAAACGCAAAATGTAAACCCCAACTGGGTATATACAGACTTGGACCAGGGAAGGCTACAAACGGATCCGGACAGACTGCAGATCAGATCTGATAAGTAGCTGCTGAAGTTTAATCCTACCAAGTGCAAAGTTACGAAGTTTCTGGAGTGACAAAGAAGACCACAAATGGCGTACAGGCTCAGGGAGCAGAAGCTGCAAACTTTTCTGAAGATGAACCTTTACGTGAGTATTGTACCGAGCATATCCTTGAGGTGCGCATCATCAAAAACAACTGTGACAACAAATGCACGTCTGGACAAATCTAAGACTTGTTTTCAGATATCTAAGTAGAAGTCATTCACGACAATATATACCGTGGACATCAGACATATACTGGAGTATGCAGCACCAGTATAGAATCCATACCTGATCAAGCACATCAAGAAATGGTGAGACAGTGCAGAGGTTTGTAATGAGGGGGGAAACTTGGTCAGGATCTAAGGGGAAGAAATTCGAATAGGTTACTCGAATTCTGGACAGTGAATCTAGTAGTGACAAGCAAAGAGTTGGGGTCAGGAGCTGTGACTTACCTCTGCAGCCACGCGTGTGTGTGGGTTAGATTGTTGTATCATGAACATGATTTATATTTTATTGTGATCAGGTGGTGGTTACTTGAAACATACGTGGCAAAAGGTTCATCTGCACTGGTCAGATATCTTTCTTTTTTTTTATTGCCAGTACTCTCCCGGCCCGGGTCTTTCATGTTGTCGGTGACCGACTGGCTCCATAATCTGGGGAGTATCTCGAGACTAAGTCTCCCATGGGTTGGAGATACAAGTTACCCCCCTCATCTTTGGGACCAACTGTCCCCAGGCTGGGCCACGGTCCCCGCCCTTCACGGGGCTCGTAGGTGAGAAGCTAGGCCTCTGGTCTGCCATCTGCCCCGCCACATAGAGGCTCGTGAGGATGGCAGTTCTTTATTTACAAACATCATCGTCTGTCGTGTTATTCTGAAAAAATACTGATTGTCATTAAGAGAAGAATGGAATTGAATGTAAATATGGAATGTTATCATGTGGCAGAGAAATATAGGTCAAAGCATAATAATTCCATATTTACAATGAATAATAACGTATGCAAATTATGTGTGAATACTGGAACAACGGAGCCAATCCCGGAAGGGGCCCGATGCCACTTTTGTCCGCGTTGCTTAAAAATGGTTTGGGTATGCTGTATGAGAAGGGAGTTGCGATAGGGGCCTCATAACAACTCATGATTCCGGCCTCCAAAATATAAGTCTGCCACGAGCCACAACTGATGTCTGACTTCTGTGACAAGGCAGAGTGTGATGCGAGGGTTCATGTCCGTACTAGTAAACACACAACCTCAAGGTTTTTCCTCGAAGGTGTAATCCAGTTTATACTAAGTAAGGACAGAACTTGTATTGCCGGTATCATACGTGATGGGTAATTCTGACCTTCAGTTAGTTTCAGTTTGTCAAAAATATTCTAAGATAGTGTCATTCGTTTACATAGACAAATTTATTATTGGCCTCTGTTGTGTGTCATAATTTTATATTCAGTTCTATCAGTACAATCAGTCGTTCATTTATTACATTGATTTTAGTATCTTCTCTCTCTCTTCTATACTCTACTCTCTCTCTCTCTCTCTCCTCTCTCTCTCTCTTCGCTTTTATCTCTCTATCTCTCTACTCTCTCTCTCTCTTTCTCTCTCTCTCTTCTCTCTCTCTCTCTTCTCTTTTTTTTTTCTCTCTCTCTCTCTCATCTCTCTCTCTCGCTCTCTCTCTCTCTCTCTCTCTTCTCTCTCTCTCTCTCTCTCTTCTATCTCTCTTCTCTTCTCTCTCTCTCTCTCTCTCTTATCATTGAGAATTGATTCTGATGACTTTCTCAAGTACGGTGTGCGTTAATGCTCCGAGTACAGGATGATTTACTGGTGAGTCCAAGGTGACAGAGTAGTGAGCTTTGTGCTGTGTGTTCAGTCAGTAAATGAAGTCTGGATGGTGTCTGTGGAGGCGACGTGTTCTCGCAACTCTTCGTCTAGAGTAACACAGAGGGTCCTGGCTTCTGTGTTTGACTGGCACTACCAGAGTGTTCTTCTTCTCCCTGCTACAGTGCTTCAGTTTAACCTGTATTTCAGATACCCAGTGGTTACAACGGCCCCACACGGAATTGTGTCAGTCATTATGTATTGACCCCCCCTAAACACTCTCAGGTATACTCAAGTATGGGCTCGGGCTGGGTCTCAGTAGTAGTACCAGTTCCTAGTAACAGTTACAGGATCCAGTGTACCAGTATATAACAGCCTTGATCCTTATGTCGTTCTTCGGGAACTAGTGAATGCTACCCTTGGACTAATGTTTCGTTGTGTGCCTGTGCTGTTAGAATTAGACTAAATTTTATCTTCTTTTAAAAATGCTGTCAGTCCTCCAGCTTTGTCCCTGACGAGGATAAACCATCCACAGCGTCATTTGCTCCATAAGATGCTATTTTAGCATTGACGCTGTGAATGATTTATCCTCCTCAGGGACAAAAGCTGAGGACTGGACAACATTGATAAATGACGATAAAAGTTTGTCTAATCTAACAGCAAGGCCTCAACGATTCAGTAGTCATGGGTGTAGCATTCACTAGTTCCCGAAGAACGACATATGGATCAGCTGTTTTTTACTGGTACAAGGAAAGAACGAATCATTCCTCATATTGTGACCACTTAGTAAGATTCCTGAAGTCTCGCATATCAAGAGATCAACAACGTGAACAGCAGCAGGGGATCGATGAAGAGCTTCTTAGCAAGTCTGATAAGACTTCCCTCTGAAGGAGGACCTTCAACTAGAGCATTAACACGAGAACGAATGGCAGTAAACCATGCTTCAAGACTATGTACATGGCTATTGAATAAAGGTAAGGCATCAAGGAATCACGAGTAAAACTGAAGTATCTCAGTGTCTGGGTCGGTCTGTCAGTCGCTAAGGAACTGTGAGTGACTGACAACATCATCAGCAGGATTGTCATCCTCGAGACTGCTTAAGGCTTCAAAGGAATTGTGAACGGGATGGTGTACTCATTATCACCTACTGTCCACCATGGGACGGTTTGACTGGGGCGCTCGAATTCCCCCGAATTGGAAGAATGAGTCTGGTTCTGGTTATTTTGAGAACCACGATGTCTGTTTCCTCTACGGGTTCTGCGTTGGAACGGCCACGGAAAGACCTAGAGTACTGAAGTTGTAGAGAGCATTGCACTCGATGTGTCATGTCCATGTATTCTATGATAAGTACAGTAGGGAAGATCTGACTGGTACTCATCATCATGTACGACCCTCTTAGGGTAACTATCAGGACAATTAATTGTAATATGGCCACGGAAACCACAGTTGTAACAAGTCCGCCGACTATGGTTACTGAATGTACTATGAATACTACGAGGTTTATAATGACTCTGCACACTGGTCCTTGGTGATCGCTGAGATGGTTGACGACCACGATTTGTCGCTGTGGCGCAAACAAGAGGTGGTGCAGACTGAGGCATAGGTGTGAAATTACTTTTGATACATGGGAAAGTACCCTGGGGGCACAAGGAACGTACATGATTTAGGGCTGTAAGTGGTTCCATCGTCACAGTTGGAGGATGTTGCTTCACATGTCTCTGACATAGATGATTTTGGGGATGAAGTGGAACAAATCTTTGCTGATGACAATCCACCTTTTTGTTTGCACATAACTTCCAATGCAACCATAGGCCCTATAGTGCAAGCTTCTGTTCATAATGCGCCCGTTCATTTGTTCATGGACTCTG